TCGTCAAAATTGGCCCGGCATGGCCAGGTGGTTAGGGCACTCAACTAGCAATCTGAGAGTCCCGAGTTCGAATCCACGTCCCACCAAACATGCTCGCCCTTTCAGCCGTGGGGGCGTTATAATGTGACGGTCAATCCCACTATTCGTTGGTAAAATAGTAGCCCAAGAGTTGGCGGTGGGTGGTGATGACTAGCTGCCTTCCCTCTAGTCTTACACTGCTAAATTAGGGACGGCTAGTGCAGATAGCCCTCGTATAGCTTTGCTCGGAATTCAAAACAAATAAACAATCTTCGTCAAACTGTAAGGTTTTAATTCCATTTCTAAAACTCATTTCTTTTCCTTTTTTTAAGAGGGGGGGGGGGGGTTTGAGATTGTATTTAAATAGATGGTAAATTTTCCAGTTCCTATAAGTTTCATTTTTCAGCTATTATAATTGTTCTGCGAACATTTTTTAGTTTGTTTAAAACTATTTTAAAATAAATGATAAATTTTCCAGCTCCTATAAATATCATTTTTCAACTTTTAAGAATTTGTTCTGCAAACATTTTCTTCTCTTGAAAACTTCGTTACAAATATCGTCACTTGTGCAATTTTCCACCCTAATAATCGTAACAACGTATTTTGATTTTTTTATTCAGCAATTGATGACTTCAAAATAAAATTGTACACAATCATCCAACAATGAAAGAAATTTTTATATTTCTTCTGAACACCATAGGCCGGGAATGACCCGGTAGTTAGCGTTTCCGGACCTTGAATTCGGAAGTTAACAGTTCGCGTCCCGTTGCCACAAAATCTAGCACAGCATTCTAGGTCCGTGGATGCTCTATAATAGTGACGGTCAAATCCTACTCTCCTCCCCCCCCCCAGTGGCACGGCGGTATGTCTGAGGACTTACAACGCTAGAAACCGGGTTTCGATACCCGTGGTGGACAGAGCACAGATAACCCTTGTGTAGCTTTGTGCATAATTAGAAACAAATAAATCCCACTGGCCCCCCAGTGGCACAGCAGCATGTCTGAGCACTTACAACGCTAGAAACCGGGTTTCAATACCCGTGGTGGACAGAGCACAGATAGCCCTTGTGTAGCTTTGTGCATAATTACAAAACAAAAACAAATCCCACTGTTTGGAAAGGCAAAAGGAGCTCAAGAATCAGTGCTGGGTGTTGTTGGTTAACTGCCTCCCATTCGATGTTTTGTTTTTAACAAATTTGTATATTTGAAAATTATATCGAATTCTGGTTTATTTAACAAAATGACTTAGAAAATTGCTAATATTTGAAAGGTTTAGATCTATATTTTTGTTGGTCGCATTACAAATTTTGTATTATTATCATATTTAAAAGCTTAAGTATTTTTCAGATATTCGAAAACAGCAGTGAGAGGAACTAGAGTATTTATATTTGAAAATCAAAGACTTAAATAGTCACAAGCATTAAAGTGCTTTATTAAAAAAAATTGAATAGTCACTTATTCAAGTAAAAATAAATAATGACAGTAAACTAACTGCTCAAAATAAATAAATAATATAGTGTCAAAAATTCCATACCCTAATTTTATTCTGTAGTGACATAAATGAAAATTTATAAAAATTACAATTAACCAGCTTAATCCAGTTCACACCGAAACGGTTGTTGTTGAAGCAGTTTGGTATTATGAATAGCGTCTCGACCTCTCTTATATCTGTCGTGTCCCAACCACAATAATATTGAGCGAAAGGCCGAGTGGATACTTAACATGGTAGTTATGGTGTGGTTTACCAATTACATTATTAACTCAGAAGTTCTTGTGAATGCAACGAAAAACTTATTTTAACAAATTAAGAATTTAAACAGTCACGCACATCAGTTTTTTATTTACTAGAATTAAAAATTTCAACAATAACGTGATTAAGTATTATAGACTAGTTAATACCAGTATGTAATTGGGAGTTTATTCTGGAGCATGGAGCATTCTTGTTAAATAAAAAATAACATTCACTACTGATACTAAATATTTTTTTCCGTAAAGTAACATTCACTACTGATACTAAATATTTTTCTAGTAACATTCACTATTGATACTAAATTATTTTTTCAGTAAAGTAACATTCACTACTGATACTAAATTATTTTTTCCGTAAAGTAACATTCACTACTGACACTAATTATTTTTTTTCCGTAAAGTAACATTCACTGGTAATCTTTGTTGCATTCTGAATTTTTATTAATTTGTGAATAAGCTAACGACAACGTCGTTTTCTATAACACAGGCCTGCAATGGTTTTATTGTCTTGAAATATTTACCTGTTATACTGTAATTCCTGTACGCTGAATCCGAAAATGATATTCATTCATAACGCAACACATAAAAGAAAGACCACAACACGTAGTTTTAAGATTAAAAGACGTAGATTTCACACACACACACACAAATTAGGATGAATGAGGATGCATATTTGTTTGACATCAATGTTCTTCCCTTTTCTTCACCCCAGTGGCACAGTGGAATGTCTGCGGACTTACAACGCTAGTACCCGAGTTTCGATACCTGTGGTGGGAAGAGATATGATAGCCCATTGTGCAGCTTTGTGCTTAATTACAAACAAACAAACTTCTTCAGTTTGTTTCTGTTTTTGTTAACAAACATAATAATAAAAAATGTTCATTTTGGTAAACAAAATAATAATTTGATCTAAGTAAGAGTTTTTTTCCTTCCCGATTTGTAAAAAAATCTTTACGTGATAGAAAAAATTAATATTTTCCAAAACAACTTTTATGACGTTTAACTTTGCAGGCCTGTGTTATTATTATTGTTCTGTAAAATAATGAAAATTAATCAGCTTCTTTTACCTGATTGTACATTGTAATCTTGTCATCATTAAAGATATTCCTAGAGTGAGCTGAATATTTCAGTATCATATCTACAGATGATTCAGCATGAATCACGTAAAACCAAGATTTTGTGTCATTAACCGTTCTATTGCCATTAATATGAACGCCCGATCAACTGAACTACAGTATTGTTAGAAATTGAACGGATAGATGGCAGAATGCGAGATGATCGCAAGTTGAAGATGTCCGTTTCAAACAAATGAAGCTCAGTTTCCTATAAGAGAAAAATTGGAATACTGAAATCAAGGTAATGGCTCCGGTTTTCCTTTAAAAAAATTGGGAAATACCCGCCTCCTCCACCTCCTGTGGTAAGTGAGTCTGTATACGTTACAGAACAATTTCCCCATGAATGTAAAGACTTAACATGTACGTATTGTTGGCATAATGCCAAATCCTATTCTATATTTGTTTATAAGGATAATTTTTACGAATTATATCTGCTGGGGTATTCTATATTTGTTCACAAGGATAATTTTTACATGCTATATCTTCTGGGGTATTCGATATTTTTTAATAGAATAATTTTTACATGCTATATCTGTTGGGGTATTCTATATTTGTTTACAAGGAAATTTTTTACATGCTATATCTGTTGGGGTATTCTATATTTTTTAATCAGATATAGCATGTAAAAATTATCCTTTTGGGGTATTCTATATTTGTTTACAAGGATAATTTTTACATGCTATATCTGTTGGGGTATTCTATATTTGTTTACCAGATATAGCATGTAAAAATTATCCTTCTGGAGTTTGCGAGAGAAATAGTTATGCATGCTCACTTACATCACGTTTAGCTGGAGCAGCTTACCTGCAGGTTGCACTCCAGTTAGGTAAAAATTCGTATTTCTTCTGTTCAGTTTACACTATCCGTTGGTGAGTTTCTACAACACTTCGCAGCTTTCGCTACGTTTTCTAAGAATGTCGGCTTGTTTTTAAAGTTAACTGATTCTGCACGTGATGAATTAAGAACAAAATCTATCGAAACGAGAATAGGGAATACTTGGAAATGCGGATGTTGACACGGAAATGTTATAGGTCAAAAGTCACACATTTCTTTTTTTGTGTGGATATCCACAACCCTAATCGCAGTAAGGCCAGGTTGTCTCTGGTATTATGTCTCTAAAGTCTTTTAAATTTGTAAGATCAGCATATATTAGACTTAACTTTTTTCGCTAAGATTTGTTAAAAAATAGAAGTCTTTTTTTTTTCGGGCACCGTTTAGAATGAAATTTGTTATATGTATTGGTTTCAGGTTTCATAGACGTCCCCTAAATTAAATTGGGCTCGAACATCACTCCCACCCCCCAATATTTTGCTTCAAAATTGTTTATTTATTCTTTCTTCTCTGCAATCAACTAAGTTTGCCAGCCGAAAGGAAAGGAGACTACAATTCTTTGACAAATTCTAAACATTACGGTGCTAGTACCTTTTTATGTACCTGTACATAATGTGTACGTGCTGGTTATTATCTGAACTATTCTTATTACTAATGTGGCATACGATTTTGCGCCTTTGGTTTCCACGTTTTCGTAATAGAGATCACGTTAATTACTTAATTTTACTGGTTAGAACTACACGTGCTTGATATTCAGCCGCATATCTGACCTGTACGTTGTCTGAATATGCTTCTTCAGATTAAAGTAGGTCCACTTGTTTAAAAAAAAAATCTCAGCGTTTGGTTTATCACATACTGATGTTAGTACTCCTCTACCGTGTCGTAAAAAGCATATTTTTTATAGTTTGACAAACTGTTTTAGGTTTTTATATACCTTTAATATCGAAAATGCAAGAGTTGGTATATACTTTGAATGAAATCCTTGCATTGTTAATTTATCATCTATACTTTTGTCTTATCAAAAAGTTAGTAGAAGTATCGCTTTCTTGTGATTAAAAGTGCTAGCGGAAAAATGACATACCTCGTTGCACAACACTCGTTTACAGTTTAATCGCGATAAAAAGAGTTCTTTGTTTCAAGACACACGTTAAAGGGAAATATAGTGACGCTGAGTGTGAAAGAAACAGTTATTGGTTGTGCTGGAAAGCCAAAATAAACACACGTTTGACATTCTTGTTATGTCAGTTATAAACTTGTTGTTTTTCTTTCTTTCAATCTAAATCTTTAGCACTCTTGACGGTTTGGTGTGAGGACTTGGGAAGGCTTTTACTCCTTCGTCACCAGAGAAACAGAAGCGGTGAAAGAGGAGGTTTTAAAGACCTGTCGCTGGACTATCAACACACACTGAAGTCGCTTCCTCCTGTTAAACAAAGGTAAGTTTCCACGAATCCATGAAAAAATTTTTCCTTGATTCAGTTTTTGATCACAATCAGTGGTGTAACAGCAGTAAAAGGAAAAGAAATGTGTAAAATAACATTTTTAGAGACGAAGATATTGCGTCAAACAATGGGAATAGTAAAACTGAACATAACTATTTATTGAGGTTAATAAGTATGCGGTTCTTAAGCCTACTTAATAACACACGTACACAACAGAGAAATATAGGAATACAGTTCCGTACCGATGTTTGATGGCGCCCTGTGCAACATAATTTAGGTGCCCCCCACAATCCAATCCATTAGTTCGCTTTGTTAGTCAATCGGAAAATCGGCGCCCCCCTTCGAGTTGGTGCCCTGTGCGAACGCACCGCTCGCACTACCCGCGATGTGGCCCTGGAGAAATGCTTAATGCATCTAACTAAAATACGTTCCTAACAGAAATTAAAACTTCCTTGAATTTTCTGGCATTTGCTCGTCGTTATCCGAATGGTAATGATTATTCATAGATATAAAATTCTACTTAGCAAGGGCGTAGCCAGCACTACAGAGTTTGTGTGTGTGAAAGAGAGGAGGGAGAAAGATCTATTTTCAAAAAGATATGGACCTTTTCTTCTACATAAATAATTTAAGTAATTTACATGAAAGTCAAGTATTTATTGAAAAAAGAATCAAATCAGAAGATAGTGACCTTTTAGACTTTTTTTTGGGGGGTGGTCGTTTAACCCCCGACGCCTCCCCAGACTACGCCCCTGCTATTCAGTACCAACAATAGAAGCATTGTGTTGTATCACGTATATTTCTTCTTCTTTCCTCTAATCCTTCCAGGTTCTTCGCTTCCATGTTGAATATGATTTTGATCCTTTACGGTGCAGATTTCTTCACTACACACGTGTATTAGTGTCTAACTGTTAGAAGGTTAGCTAGAGTTACTAGTGTAAAATTGTCCTACTGTCAGTATCCATTTCCTTGTTGACATATTCCTTGATATACAGAGAGGGGCGTGTAACTGCATGTAATTTGTTTAGTTGTAATAATGTCATGGACGTTTAAGTGGAATTTTTTAATTTCCACCGGTAGGACAAATTGTGAAAGGTTCTGTTTGGCATCACACGCAGATCCCTTTCTGTAAAGACGTGTAATTACTTTTCCAAGCTCTTAGTGTAAGTGTTTGTATTTAGAATTATTAAATCTTGTCATGATGAAACCCTCGCGCTTAATGATGTCACGAACGTATGTGTTCGTGTGCATTTGAACCGAGAAAGTCGTTATCAAAAACTTGTTTGCATTGAGATGGCTGACTTATTAACAATTAATGAATTCGAAGTTTCTTCAGATTTTTAACACCAATTATTTAACTAGTAATTAGAAACTATCTAACCATTTTTTTTTGTCTTTTTCGTTATCAATACAATACTGTGCAAATATTTTACCGTGTATATATTCTTCCAAATTGAAATTGTTTCAGTAATTAGCTCTTTAGACACATTTGATGTACGCAACTAAGAAAATAAAACAAACTGGTGTAACTGTAATTTATAAAACTGAAGATATAATATCGTCATAAACAACTCATTTCTAGAACTTCGGCAAATAGCACACAGTGATGTATCGAAAGAGAAAAAATTATAATATTTGATCTGGTTTCTTTTCGTAGCGCTAGAAGGCGCTTCTTGACCCCTTTTCTATAATACTTGGTAATTTTTCGTCACCTCTGTGAGCAACATAAACAAACATCGTCCTAGATAAAGTTTGGTTACTCAATTGTTAAGAAAGAGTCTATTCTGTAGAAAATGTTGTATCTAACATTAGATCATATTTAAACTGACTTGACATTGAAAATAACACATAAAAAAAATGTCCATCAACACTGCAAAAATTCAAAACACAACATGTACGAACACGTTGGTTTATTGTTAGATACGTCTCTTTGCGATTCTAAGAACTTATGACTGAAAGCACAGAAAATCGTGTTATATCAGCCACACTACAACTGCGATCTATAATAATATAAGAGCCTGACTGTCTATCTGTGTGACCGCCATAACTCCAAGAGGAAAGAACCTGGAGACCTGAAACTTTGCACGCATACTAAGGGGATTCTGAGGGACATTTTTTTTTTGCCCTATAGCTCATTAAGCCAAATAATTCTGCTTCCTGAAGGTCTATAGAAAAGTATCATTTTTTTTTTCCAGTTATCACTTACTGAATAAACAATATGTGGAGGTTTTCTGCCAAATACTTTTTTTCAGCACGCCCCCCCCCCCCAGTGGCACAGCAGTATGTCTACGGACTTACAACGCTAGAAACCGGGTTTCGATACCCATTGTGTAGTTTTGTGCTTAATTACAAATAAACAAATAAATAAATTTTTTCAACACAAACACAAGAAGAAAAAATACAAATCTGAAAATTAAAAAAAAAGTTGAATTGAACTAAGTTGGGAAAAAAATATGAATCGGAAAATATTGGAGAATGAAAATAATTCAAGTAAACGCACAGGAAATAAACAAATCGAATCTGAGAAGCTAAATGAAAATTATATGCTTTTAAAAAAGAGTTGAATCGAGCTAATTTCGGGAAATGGCAACAGACAAATCAGTAAAAGAATTGACGCATTGAGGGTAGCTATAGAAGTAATCAAGATAATGAAGACGCTTGACTGGTACATTGAGACCTCTGTGAATCATGAGGGGACCTTAGAATCCCGCAGCAAAGCGTGGGTATTTTATGCTAGTATCCAATATAAAAAGAGTTACAGATAATTGCAGAAATAGCTGTCACGCATGCGTAACTGGAGAGAATCAACATAAGATTCCAAAATAGTCTCAAAATCTTTTATGGAAGAACAAAATTTATAATAAGAGATGGAAAGAAACAATATCTAATTATTGTTGATTTGTTTTTGTTTGTTTGGTTTTACAGGTGTCATTAATTTTTTATTGAATAGTCATAACGCCAAACAAGACATATTCTGAAATTTAATGCAAACTCTTCGATATGTGATTTTGGTTGCTCACTGTTGGTGGAATTTATATTTTTAACGCATTTATATTTCAGCTGAAATATAAATTGCTCTATCAGATGCAAATAATTTACGAATTCATCCTTTGAAGACGATATTGTGACCTTGAATTTTGAAAGAAATCAATCAGATCGCCACCTTCAGGTTAGTCATAAGATGAGGAGGACTCTGTCATAGAGGTCGCAGTTGGAACAAAATTTATAGTAGTTAAAAACAGATAAAAGACAACAACGCTCACACGGTTTCCTTGTTGTTGTTGTGATTATTTTCCCTTTGTTACTAATGCACAAAATCAGTTTCCTTTTTCGAACTAAAAATACGATTTCCTCACGGCTGTTAACATTAATCGAGTGAAACAAGCTTAATGTGTAAGGCTTATTTTCGTTAGCTGAAACATATTATTAAAGTAATAGAGACAAAACGCTAAGATCTGTGTTCGCTCGTGCATCACGTGACAACAAAACTAAAGTTCAAGCACTTTTATTTAAAAGTTTCTTATGAAATAAAGGAATTCAATCTTATTTAATATAAAACTCCGAATTATAACGTACGCGCTAATTCTAATTTCATTGGAATACATTGATAGTAAAGTTGTTTAATTAAATTTTGAATGTAACTCATTAAAACTTCCTGACTTGCGCAGAAAGGAGTTTAAAGAATGCGTCGAAGTGAAAACGGTTAAATACATAATATAAATCAAAATCACAATGACGTGGCTTTCAATCCAGATCCTTTCCATAGATGTATTGCCAAGATGTAGTTTTCGATTCTCCGCCGTCGACAGATAGCACGTAAGCCATTGCGTAGTTTTGCGCTGAAACTAAAGTTTAGTAAACAAGTTTAAATCTGCTACACCTACGTTGTGTCACAAGCGTTTCACACCAGATTAAATATAGTACAGTAATGATGTGCCTCAAGTGCTTAACACCAATTCATATCTATAAGAAAAATACAATGAGTTTGGTGCTTTTAACACCCTTAGAAATATGTTAATTGTCCAGAGTTGTGATTATAAATTCGCACAAAGCTACACAAAGGGCTATCTGTGCTCTGCCCACCACGGATATCGAAACCCGGTTTCTAGCAGTATAACTTCGCAGACATGCCACTGGGAGGCTGAAGCAAAGGAACTGACAATGTTTATCTAAATAGAACAGTAATTCCACCTAACAGCAATCACATTAAACTATAAAATTGACTTACGTATGTTTTAATTATATTTAAAGAATCAAATTATGTTAAATTCAATTATCTAACGATACCATGTATAAAGTACATAGTGATAATAAAGAAAAGCCCATACTGAAAAGATTGGATTTTAAAAAGTACCTCAGTTAAAGGAACTAATTTCATCATGGGCGCATTGAGAATCATGTTTTTTTGTTTGTTTGTTTTTTCTTGTGGGGGGTGGGCTGAGCATTATAGAGGGCGTTTTAACATATAAAGCTTACCCCTTAATGAAACTACTTGACTCTTGCACTCGCATTTCTAATGGTCGTTGCCATGTCCTTAAAATGTCGTGGCTATTCAGGTAGGTACTCTCACAGTCAGAAATCTGCTGATGCAATATCTGACCAGATGGTGGGCGTTCGTTTTCATTTCTGATTGGTTTCTGACCAAAGTAAAACTACTATTTTTTTTTTACTAGCACAACTGGACAACAGTCGCATGGTCCTGTACGCTGACCTGTATTTTTTTTATTTTTTTTTTGTAAATCGCCAATCTTGTATTGTTGAAAAAGACTAGAAATAAAAGCGATTTTGGTGTGCAATATAATATCGTTTTGAAACGTCCTACATCCAAACTTTCCTGGGTAAAAGCTAATGATTATTAATGTGCTTGGATTATTAATGTGATATGGATTGGTACTTTTTTAAGATGTAATACTTTAAGTATAAGGTTTCCTTTATAATCATATCGTATTTTCAATTAATGTAATGTAAAAGCAAGTAATTTAAACATCACTGAAATT